GCATTAGGACACGAATTTGGCTATTTATTTCTTCATTCTGGGCTACCAATATAATTTCTTCAAGTCTTGGTACATTGTTGTTTCACCCGGGTGGCAAGAGTATGGGGTTTTGTGAGCTTCGCTGAGAATTATTTCTTTCATCTCTTTGTTTGCCGGAACGAAAATTCTTCCTTGGAATTTTAAGTGTTCGCCATCGGAGATCGAGAAATTGGGATTTCGACCAGTTGATAAGCTTTCTCGGATTTTTGGAAGTTGATCATCAAGGAGTTGGGTTGATTTCATAGTCGACTCGAGTGGCGGTTCAATGATCAAAGCGCACATGGACTTCCGGCTAAGAGCATCAGCCACGACATTAGCTTTACCGGGGTGGTAAAGTATTTCGCAATCGTAATCTTTGACCAATTCGAGTACATGATTATTTGTCTCATGTTAGTCCTTTTGGGTCAAGAAGTACTTTAGGCTTTTGTGGTTGGTGAAGATCGAACACTTCTCTCCGTAGAGATAGTGCCTCCAAATTTTGAGGGCGAAAACAACGGCGACAAGTTCCAAGTCGTGCGTCAGGTAATTCTTCTCGTAATGTTTCAATTGAGGAGAGGAATAGGCAATTACGTTTCCATTTTGCATTAGGACGGCTCCGAGTCCGTGCTTGGAGGCATCGCTATAGACTACGTAGTTTCCGGTTTTGTTGATTTATATTAATGTCCTAGGATTGTAGTTTGTGTTTTCATGATCCTTTTTGCGAATGCACTTTTGCGTGAGTACTTTTGTGCATGCTTTTGCACTTTTACTTATGTGCTTATCTTTTCTAGCGAGTGTTTTTGTGCATGTTTCTTGATGCGCATTCATGTCCTCGAATTGTAGTAGGTATGTTCGTGATCGCTTTTGGAATCCAATTTTGACCATGTTCGAGTCCGAAGTTGGAAATTTGACGTTAGACATGAATTGTAGCCAGCTGAAATAGCTTTCTAATGCCGCGGGAACCAGTTGTTTGGAGTCCGGAGGAGAATGTTATGCTCGACTTCGTGGACACTACCGAAGATGTTGAGGGATCCTCTCTTCTAATTTTATTTTATTTTCCTACTTGCAACTCTTTTCTTACTCTTTGAGTATTTTAACTTCATGGACACATAATTATCGATTTGTACCTATAAGATACTCAATCCACCAATTAAAACAGAAACATAAATTCATCACAAAAAAAAAAAAATCCACATAAACGTGAACGTAGAGTGTTATTGCTACACTCCATTGTATCTTTTGTATCTAGTGTTTTTGTTGTTGTTTAGTTATGCGTATTAAAGTACTTGTGTTATAGTTCGTGTTTTTCAGAACGTTGTTGCGAATGCACTAGTGCGCATGTTTCTTTACATGTACGGTTGTGCAGGTCCAGTTGAGCGAGTGTGTTTGTGCATGTTTGTTGATTTTTATTAATGTCCTAGGATTTTGTAGTTTGTGCTTTTATGATCCTCTTTGCGATTCACTTTTGCGTGAGTACTTTTGTGCATGTTTTTTTACTTTTACTTATCTGCGTATCTTTTCTTGCGAGTGTTTTTGTGCACGTTTCTTGATGCGCATTCGTGTCCTTGAACTGTAGCATGTATTTTCATGATAGCTTTCGAAATCTAATTTTGACCATGTTCGAGTCCGAATTTGGAAATTTGACGTTAGACAGGAATTGTAGCTAGCTGAAATAGCTTTCGAATGCCGCTGGAACATGTTGATTTGGAGTCCGGATGAGAAAGTTATGCTCGACTTCGTGGACACTACCGAAGATATTAGGGATCCTCTCTTCGAATTTGATTTTATTTTCGTAATTGCAACTCTTTTCTTACTCTTTGATGATTTTTGCTTCATGGACACCTAATTATCGATTTGTACCTATAAGATACGAAATGAACAAATCAAAACAGAAATATAAATTAATCCAATAACAAATCCACGTAAACGTAAACGTAGAGTGTTATTTCTAAACTCCACTATATCTTTTGTGTCTAGTGTTTTTGTTGTTGTTTGGTTATGTGTATTAAAGTCCTAGTGTTGTAGTTCGTGTTTTTAAGAACGTAATTGCGAATGCGCTTTTGCGCATGTTTTTTTACATGTACGTTTGTGCATGTCCATTTGAGCGAATGTGTTTATGCATGTTTGTTGATTTGTATTAATGTCCTAGGATTGTAGTTTGTGTTTTCATGATCCTTTTTGCGAATGCACTTTTGCGTGAGTACTTTTGTTTATGCTTTTGTAGTTTTACTTATGTGCGAATTTTTTCTAGCGAGTGTTTTTGTGCACGTTTCTTGATGCGCATTCATGTCCTCGAACTCAACAACGTATTTTCATGATCGCTTTTGGAATCCAATTTTGACCATGTTCAAGTCCGAATTTGGAAATTTGATGTTATGAAGGAATTGTAGTCAGCTGAAATAGCTTTCTAATGCCGCGGGAACCAGTTGATTTGGAGTCAGAATGAGAAAGTTATGCTCGAGTTG